ACACTATACAAGTCAATGGCTACCGTCAACTGTTTGGTTACCAACATTCTTCTGAATATCTTCTTTTGTGTTCAACAGAAGAAAGAAAGTCATAGAGGTTTGGAAAGACGCGAGTGAGTTAACGATGACAGAATTCTCATTTTGGGGCAAACTATCTCTTTAATAGAATGTTATCAGGTCTTTAATAATGCTCTCAAAACATTAGCACAGAAAGGTTATTTATACATAATCCATCTAACATGTTTTAAATGTTGCTACTTGTTTCAGAACGTTCAGAGAACATTCAAAAGTAACATTCCCATAATGTTTACAAAATGATACAATGTAGCGTTCCTGTAACGTTTGTATAACCAATAAAAAAACATTTACAAACCTGGACATTTTGAACGTTTTTTAGGCAACGTGCAATAATTAAATATATATACAATAAGCTAATTAGCAGAAAAAGCCTAATATTAGCTCATCGGATGATGCAGAGTTCAAAAATATAAGTAAAATCTTTCATGTAGTTTTTTTTTTCACAAAATAAGAATGAATATTTTTCTAATTCTATATATGTATCAACTTTAATGCACTTTTCAAAATAACAAAAGCAATCAAATATTTCTATCATTTAACTTATTTGCAAAGGAGTGAGAAAATATATTCAAAAACTAGTTAATATCAAAGAAATGTACATGTTTACAGAAATGTAGAGAGCATCTGTGATATCTGCGTCTGCTTGTCTGCAGTAAAAGCAGAAATCATCAGGCTCATGTTTGATTTTCTTCTGTCTCTGGATCATAAATCCTGTCATGCGTGTGAAAATGAGCTGAGAATCGATCCGAGCGTTCAGACAGGAGTCGTGTTTGTGTGTTTTTCTGCTGATTAAGGGACAATACGAGACTTCTTCACCACACAAATGATTCTCAAAAGCAAAAATGAGTTGAAATGCATCATATTTAGTGACGTGAAAGAGCAAAACAGACAGTATTTTTGGAATCAGCAGCTCAGAATGAGTACTGGATTCATTCAGATCTCATGCGGACTGACCCGAGCTCCAGTCCCAGCCCTTGTGCCAGTTCTCTTTACAGGTGAAGTCCTCCTTACAGTCCTCAAACCAGCTCTCACAGTCCTCCAGACACAGCGGCACGTCCACGATACGCTCCTTACGCCACGACTCGCTGGCCTTCAACACACCACAACAACACTGATGCTCAAACCTGCTCACCACACACACCACTAACATCTATCTGTCCAGTCATTAGTTTGAATAATTAGGAGAATGTTTCTGAAAGAAGTTTCTTTTTGCATTAATCAGACCAAAATAGCTTTTTTCTATTTCTGTTAGAATGTTATGAATTGCTGTTGAAAACAGTTGTGCTGCCGAATATTATTGTGGGGATAAAACTATTTTTATAAATTAATAGTTCATCAAAGATGCATTAAATTGATCAAAAGTGTCAGTAAAGACATTTATAATGTTACAGATGATCCCTATTTCAAATAAATGCTGCTCTTTTGAACTTTCTATTCATCTGTGAATCCTGAAAAATAAAATGTATCACCGTTTCCACAAAAATATGAATGTTTTCAACATTGATAATAATAATAATGTTTCTCGAGCAGCAGATCAGCATATTATACTGATTTCTGAAGATCATGTGACACTGAAGACTGGAGGAATGATGCTGAAAATACAGCTGCGCATCACAGAAATACATTACAGTTTAACACAGATTCACATAGAACACAGCTGTTTTACACTGTAATAATATTTGACTGTTTTTCAGTATTTTTGATCAAATAAACACAGCTCGACATTCTTTCAGAAACATTAAAATCTTAATTATTCCACAGTTTTGAGCAGTACTGTATAATGATCTCGTACCGGCTGTATCCAGGGCCCCAGGTGCGGCGAGCACTCGTAGAAACATGTGTCCTGAATGAAGTGTTCCTTACATTTGTCACTCATAGTGCCGCAGTGATTCCAGTTGAAGTTGTACAGGTATGAATTATCCTGATGAGCTTCTTCTGTGGTGTTCGCTGTGCAGCAGGCATTATCTTTCCACGGAGCACACTGAGAGACACAAACATTCAGGAAATGGTCATCCCAGATCCTTTCAGAAACATTAAAATCTTAATTATTCCACAGTTTTGAGCAGTACTGTATAATGATCTCGTACCGGCTGTATCCAGGGCCCCAGGTGCGGCGAGCACTCGTAGAAACATGTGTCCTGAATGAAGTGTTCCTTACATTTGTCACTCATAGTGCCGCAGTGATTCCAGTTGAAGTTGTACAGGTATGAATTATCCTGATGAGCTTCTTCTGTGGTGTTCGCTGTGCAGCAGGCGTTATCTTTCCACGGAGCACACTGAGAGACACAAACATTCAGGAAATGGTCATCCCAGATCAGGATGAGTTTGTCTCTTCATCAGATTTGGAGAAATGTAGCACTGCATCAGTGTCTCAGCAACGGATGCTCTGCAGTGAATGGGTGCCGTCAGAATGAGAGTCCAAACAGCTGATAAAAACATCACAATAATCCACAGCCCTCCAGTCCATCAGTTAACATCTGGAGAAGACAAAAACTGAAACTAATCCAGCATTTTTATCAGCTGTTTGGACTCTCGTTCTGAAGGCACCCATTCACTGCAGAGCATCCATTGCTGAGACACTGATGCAATGCTACATTTCTCCAAACCTGACGAAGATCAAACTCATCCTGATCTGGGATGGCCTGAGAGTGAACACATTTTCATAATGTATTGTTTTGCATTATTTGATCATTGTTGCAGTAGAGAAAAGTGTGTGTGTGTGTGTGTGTGTGTGTGTGTGTTGCGTCTTGTACCTGCTGATACAGCTGTCCCTCTGGTCTGGGCTCTGATATCTGGTGTTTTCCATCCATACACATGTTGAGTTTGTCTACAGCAGAAACACAGGACAGCAGCGCTATCAGCAACACCAGAAACAACAGCAGCCTGTGCAAAAGAACGAGAGACGAGAGACGAGAGACGAGACAGACAAATCAGTGAAGATTAGTTCAAGGTCTCAGAGCTGATGTTCTGTTCTCACAGCCTTCTGACCGCAAAAGTTACAATATACACTAATATAACCAGCAACTGAAACTGTGTGCCAAATACACGGAGTCCAAATGTCTGAGATTTTCTAAAACAAACGAATGAATAAAATAACGCTTTAGAATTTACAAAAAAAAAAAAAAATTAAATTCATGTCTGGGATTATTTTTTTATTTATGTATTTACTTATTACTTAGAAATAAATAAAAATAATTATTCAAATAAAATAATTAAGAAGTATAAATATTTTTTTGAAACAATGTAATAAATATATTAACATCCTATAAATAGTAAATAAATATTTGATTCTGTACCTAATCAAATATTAGTGCTGCAAAAATGAAACAAAACAAACACTTCTTACAATCTTCTGCTACTAATAAAACAATGAAAAATCAAATAAAGAAAAATGTTGAGGTGAAATAAATAAGTGTGTGTAATTTTTATGAGAATCCGACTGATCTGGAGATACTTGAATATTTTATAAATAGTAATTTTGCACTATTTCTATTAGACAAATCCATTTTTGTGCAGCTGTCATTAAAGCAAAAATTAGACAAAATACTAAAACGTTCTCAGAATCATCTTAATTCTCAACTTTTCATTCAAATAATGAAACTTTTTATCAGAGAAAATGCAAAACAGAAGCATAAAAACCAGTGCTCTTCTGAAGTCACCCTGTGAGGAATGAAATAAAGCAAGTTTTGTTTTCATACCTTGAAAGAGAAATGTCCATGTTGCCGGTAGAATCTGAAGTTAAAGGCAGCTAATGCTCTTTATTTTCCAGGAGGTTCAGGACTGTGTGAATGTCTCTGCTTCAGCGGATCAAAGTCTACATGAAGACTCCTGAAGAGTGATGACTCCAGTAATGAGACGCCTCCTCTGTCCTCACTGTACAGTCACTCTGACCTGCCTCGTGCCTCGTGGACTCCTGAACCCTCATAACACACCAAACACCCCAGACATTCAGCACATCTCATTTATTACAGCAGAAACACAACTGATCAGCTCAGTGGTCAAGGTTTATAGAGTGTGTCGAGTGCATCTTCAATCAGGTTTCCTTTGATCTCACACACTTTTATAAGATTTTGGTTTGTAAATCTGTTTTATAAGCTGGTTTCTGAGCGACGGTGTGAGTTTTGAGGGCTGTGTTTAGCAGGGGTGTGGACTCGAGACTTGACTCGGACTTGAGTCTCAAATTTGATGACTTGCGACTCGGACTCGACGTAATTAAAGACGACTTGAGAGCCGACTTAGACTTTGACAGCAATGACTCGAGACTTGGACTTGAGCCCTGTGACTCGGAAAGACTCGGCTTTAATTTTCATTTTTATTTGCAATAAACACCACTCTGAGACCTGTTTTCGTCAGACCTCCACTCTTTTTGTTCAGTCAGTCACATGTTTTAATTGCATGTGCATTTTATTTTATTTAAACCCTGATTAAGTTTAAAGTTAATCCATGAATGAGGTTTAAATCTGAGTTTAAAGTTACGGTGCAATACGAATTAAATCCCGGCTCAGTATGACGGGTTAAATGTAAACCTGCTTATTTTTAAACAAAGTTTGAAGTTTGGTGCAACAGAATTATTTGATAAACCTCGATTTAATCTAGATTTTAAATTAATCCTCGCAAACCATTTAGCTATAATTTGAAAAGAAAACACACACTCACTCACTCTCTCTCCCACACACACACACACACACACACACACACACACACACACACACACACACACACACACACACACACTCACACACTGACACACACTGTCTAAAGTGGGCAAGCCGCAATAATGATCGTTTAAAATATAATTTAAAGAAGTGTTTCTTTCAACAAATGAGCATTGTATGTGTAACTATAAACTAGAGCCTACTCAAGATGTCTCCCTCTTCAGCAGGCACTCGCTTTCAGTGAGCGGCGGAACTAAAGAGCGCTGGCTGGTGTTTCCGGGGGGACGCATTCAGTGCAGCACCAGCGCCGTGTGTTTAGATTTGAACTTTCTGCGCTTCTGCAGGTAAACATATGTTAATTACTCTAATTAAAATTAATCAGTCATGGTATTTAGTCATGTAAATGCATTTAAGTGACCGAACCGCGGAGTGTAATGTTCAGAGTTGTTATGATGAAGAATAACTGGAAGTATACTGTGGTGTTCTGAGAAATAGCATCAAGTTAAAATTCACATGCCATGGTATTTACATGCGTCTTAAAACTAAAACTATAGTACTACTCTGGTGTATGTCTAAACATATGGTAGTACTGCCATAGATTAACAGTGCTGAAACATGCAGAAGAATGTCATAAGACATGATGTTACTGTATTACATGTGAAAAACATGGTATTTTTAGTGATGCATGCATTTATATAATACTCCAAAAAATGTATAAGAATATCATAATGTGTTGTAAAATGCAGTATTATGCATGTGAAAAAAGCATGGTAATACCATGGTATTTTATTAGTGATGCGCTTTACGCGATTCAAATCATTGCAAAGCAGCTTCACAGAAAATGAAAGTTTCTAGATTATATTTAGGAGTAGCTTATCAGTGGAGACTATGTCAGGGTGATGTCTGTATGGAAGCAATGTACAGTAAAAATGATTTTTCTTTGAGTAATTATGTATTACTCAAAGCAATCACATCATAAAAGCGTGGCATTACCATAGAAGAGAATGTTTACTGTGTGCAGAGATGTCCACCCTGTTCCCTTCTCTGTTCCCGCGTGTGACCGAGTCTCTGTGGTTTAATCTGGACCGACCGTGTGTGGATGAAGCAGAGCTGCACCAGCAGGAGCAACAGCACCAGACCTGGGTCAGTCTGAGAGAGTGTGTGTGTGTGTGTGTGTGTGTGTGTGAGTGAGTGAGTGAGTGAGTGTGTGTGTGTGTGTGTGTGTGAGTGACAGAGTGAGTGAGTGTGTGTGTGTGTGTGTGATGATGAGGCTTTGTGTCTGCAGTTACAGAACATCGCAGAGAAGGACAATAACCTGATGCCCATCGGTCGGCCCATCTTTGAGGTGATTCCGAGACACTGAGATGTGATTCCTGTCGCTGGATGAGTGTGTAACGTATGCTTTATCTTCCTGAAAGACCTTCGATGAAGAAGAAGAGGAGGACGATGAAGACGAGGAGGACAGCGAGGAAGACTCAGAAGACGATGAAGACATGCAGGACATGGACGACATGAACATCTACAATGAGTTTCCTGATGATGGAGAAATTAATGAGGTCAAGACACACACACACACACACACACTCTCTGTCACACACACACACTCACACTCTCTCTCGCTCTCTTACACACGCTCACACTCTCTCTCTCGCTCTCTCTCTCACACACACACACACTCACACTCTCTTACACACGCTCACACTCTTTAAAAATTATTATTAAAATTGTAACTACAATTAAAGTGAAAACAGAAAATAAATTTTTGCACATGAAGTTTCAGTCCCACATTTTCCCATAAATCTGTTATAACTTAAACAGTTATTGGTAAATAATCATAATTTGCTAAAACAAAACATTTGTATGCAGATTTCATTTTATTTAATTTGTGCTTATGCACAAGGGTTATTATAGTTAACTAAAACTACAACTCAAACAATAAATAAACATTCATTGCTTCATTATATAAAGTAAACTGAAATAAAAAAATGTTAAACAAAATCCTAAAATTATCTTATCTCACCCAGTTGCAAAGGCAAAGTTTCTAATTTTTATTTAGTTTAACAAAGTACTAAAATAAGTATAACTAAAATTAGAAATATATATATATATATAGACAGAGAGATAAAAACTGACTGACAAAAACACAACAAATTTACTATAACTTAAACTAAAATTAAGATGAAAACAGAAAAATATTAAAATAAAACTAATTCAAAATATTAATAAAAAGTATAATAGTATCTCAATTATACCAAAATAACCCTGTCATGCATGTTTAATCAATGAGACCCATCGATTTTAATATTAAAGGGTCATATGATGCTGCTAAAAAGAACATTATTTTGTGTATTTGGTGTAATGAAATGTGTTTATGTGGTTTAAGGTTCAAAAAACACATTATTTCCCACATACTGTACATTATTGTTTCTCCTCTATGCCCCGCCTTTCTGAAACGCTAGATTTTTACAAAGCTCATCGGTCTGAAAAGCGAGGTGTGCTGTGATTGGCCAGCTATCCAGTGCGTTGTGATTGGCCGAATACCTCAAGCGTGTGACGGAAATGTTACGCCCCTATAAAGAATATCTCTTTGGATTTGAGACTTTAGTCTTTGCAACTTGTAAAGAGCTTGTAACACTCCAAAGAGAAAGGAACAATTGAAATCCCATCATATGACCCCTTTAAATATATAAAGATATATTTTATTAACAATTGCTTGCATAAACCAAAATCAGTTTTGATGTGAGTTGAGCTGTGAGTTTTGATTGTCACTGACAGGTCGACATGGAAGGAGCCGATCAAGACCAGGACCAGTGGATGATCTAGACCAGGTCTAGACCAGATCCATCAGTCAGGCGCTCTCAGCTGTGCGTCAGTGTGGGTTTGCTGTTGCTTTTTAAAGGCTTTGCGCATGAAGAACTACGATGGACTGGAAAGAAACGTCAGTGTGCAGCTGGACTCTCAAAACACACTCAGACACACACTCACACTCATACACACACACACACTCATACGCACACACACAGACACAGACACACACTCATACACACACACACACACTCACTCAGACACACACTCACACTCATATACACACACACTCATACGCACACACACAGACACAGACACACACTCACACTCATACACACACACACTCATACGCACACACACAGACACGGACATACACTCACACACACAGACACACACTCATACACACACTCATACACACACACACTCATACGCACACTCACAGACACACACTCATACACACACACACACACTCACTCAGACACACATTCACACTCATACACACACACACTCATACACACACATTCACACACACACAGACTCACACTCACACACACAGACACACACTCATTCACACACACACAGATCACGAGACATTGAATGTTCAGTGTTACTGTGTTTCTGATAAAGGCAGCACTTGTCGCAACATGAACTTTTGTCACTTTTTAACGGCTGATCGTGTTACTGAGTTACTCGCTGTTTCTGCATGTCATCAAACATCTACTTTACAGCCCCGACTCACCATATCACCACCGACGGCTGTTAATCAAGTGTGTTCATGAACCTTTGACTGAACTGAGAGATTAGGAACAGCTTTGAGCTGTTTGTATCGTAATACTTCTTTGCGGTTGTAAATAAATTTGTAGTCAATTATTCATCTTGTATTATTTGTCAATTTTCTGTCCCTTTTGAATAGAATCAGTTGTTTATTTAAATCATTCAAGACGTGAAGGCTCGTTTCCTCCGCATCATGACAAGTGAAAGAGATTATCAAAAAGTGACAAATGTAGATGTGGGCGTGGCTCTCAAGTCTATGCAGATGAGCGTGTGTTTGTAGGGGCGGAGCTTAAGAAGAATTCAACATTATGTCAAACAATTAAAAAACATAAAACATGCAGGGTTGAATTGTTCACAATAAGATCTATAAGATGCATTCAGAGACTAGATGGGGTCATTTTCATTTAATGCAATCTTTAACAAATTAAAAGAACATTTACCGACTTTAGTCTGAATGAATGCCATATTTTATCTAACATGAATCAACTTTATTTTTAAAACTCTGTTAAAAAACATTTATTATCTCTGGTTGCCTATGTATTATATATATATATATATATTAGTGCTGTCAAACGATTAATCGCATCCAAAATAAGTTTTTGTTTGCATAATATATGTGTACTGTGTATATTTATTATGTATATATAAATACACACACACATACAGTATATATTTTGAGAATATTTACATGTCTATATTCATATAATTTATATTTTTAAAAATATATTTAATATATAAACATAACATATTCTTCTGAAAAATATTCATGCATGTGTGTGTGTATTTATATATACAGTACATAATAAATATAGCCATCTGTGTCCCTGCAGCACAAAAGCAGTGTTGAGTCGCTGGGGGATATTTGTAGCAATAGCCAACAATACATTGTATGGGTCACAATTATACATTTCTCTTTTATGACAAAAATCATTAGGATATTAAGTAAAGATCATGTTCCATGAAGATATTTTGTAAATCTCCTACCATAAATATATCAAAACTTAATGTTTGATTAGTAATATGCATTGCTAAGAACTTCATTTGAACAACTTTAAAGATGATTTTCTCAATATTTAGATTTTTTTGCACCCTCTGTATCTCGGCCAAATATTGTCCTATCCTAACAAACCATACATCAATGGAAAGATTATTTTTTCAGCTTAATCTCAATTTCGAAAAATTGACCCTTATGACTGATTTCGTGGTCCAGGGTCACATATATTATGTAAACAAAAACGTTTATTTTGGATGCGATTAATTGTTTGACAGCACTAATATATATTTTTTTTCTGAAATGAACTGCAATTTATATATTCATGTAACCATAAATATCTTTATATATTTACATATATATCATCTGGTATATTAAACGTTATATTAAATTTTGTTTCCTAAAGAAAGAAAGATGAATGAAAAGAAGTTGTGAGGGATAAAAGTACTTATTACTTATGTTTTCATTTTTACCAAAGTTTTTTGTCCAGTGAATATTTATTTCTGAAAATATTTTACGTTACTAAGTTTTCACCAGAAGGTCCAGTTATTACATTTTAATAAAACATGAGGTTAAAAAAAAAAAAATGCACAGATGAATTGTCCATAATAAAATTAGTAAGATGAATTTTTTTTATTTCATGCCAACTTTAATTACCTGTTGATCTCACAAATCCACAAACTTAAGTGTTCCATGTCTTTCCTGCAGATCAAACAGTAAATCTTGTCACTAGCAACGCCAAGGTCATGGGTTCGATTCCCAGGGAAAGCAAGGAACGATCAGATGTTAACGTGTGCGTTGAATGCAACGCAGGTCACTTTGGATAAATGCATAAATGTTGCTCATCACCTGATGATTGATGTTAGTGAACGAGCATCAAATAAGCTGTGACACGAACTGTTCAGAGCGTCACGTTAACATCCTGTAAGCGTGTTTTACTTGATCCCGAGGAAGGTGAGCTCGGCCATGCCGTCACGGATGCCGCGGATGTACTCCAGCATGGCGCGGTGAACTCTGACCTCGTACAGGCCCGAGCGGCGCGCGTGTCGCAGGAAGTTGGGCGCTCCGGGGAAGATGACGTTATCGGCCAGAATGATGGAGCCCTCACCCAGCAGACCGCTGCCCTCCAGCAGCTGCAGGTCCGGCAGGTAACAGCGCTTCCAGTGATCCATGAAGACCAGATCCAGACGCTCCACGCCGAAATCCTCACGTAGACGCGGGATCACCTCATCCGACGGACGCACGATCAGCTCCACCTGAGGAACAGATCAAACCGCTCAGACCAACACAGTGTTGGGGAAAGTGACTCTTAAAAGTAATGCATTACAATATTGCGTTACTTCCTAAAAAAGTAACTAATTACGTTCCTTAGTTACTTTTTATGGAAAGGAAAGCATTACAATATTGCTGTAACGGGGCTGACGAGACGTGAGACGTGCAGATCCATGTGCAAGCTTTATTTAAAGCAGAGAGGTCAGAAACACAGGCAGGGTCGAACAATGGCAAACAGGTATATGGCGGGCAAGACACAAGAGTAATCCTAGGGCTAGCGAAGGTCAACGATCAGTGAACAGAATCAAAAGGACGAGACTAGAGGGATAAATCCAGGAACACAGGAAAAGGTCCAGGCATGGGCAAACAGAGTCCAAATGGCAAAACGACAGGGCAATCCAAAAACAAAGGCAGCGATATATACACGGGAAAACAGGCAAGACTCGACTAAACTAGGAACTATGAAAAAGACAAAACTAAGACAATAAACAGGCTCCTTATAGCAGCTAACACTAGGAGAGTGGAAAACGCAGAACAATACTAGAGACCAAACAGGACATAAACATGGAATGGCTTGGTAAAGTAGCTAAGACTTGGAGAGTGAAAAACGCTAGACAATACTCGGCAGTGAGAGAGAGGAAGTCCATGGCTAATGTAGCATGTCTGATTGGATTCAGCTGTGTGTGATCAGTGCATTCAGCTGTGTGCGTGTAATCAGTGCAATGGTTGATGGGAAATGCAGTCCAGGGTGATGTGTAACAGTCTGTGTGGTGTGAGAGTCAATGTAATGGGAGAAGAGTGACCTCTGATGGCAAATAGACGGAAGTTCATGGACCGGATTCGTGAAAATTGCATTACTTCCTAAAAAAGTAACTAATTACGTTCCTTAGTTACTTTTTATGGAAAGGAAAGCATTACGTTACTGTTACTGTTGGGGGTAAAGCATTACAAGTAATGCAAGTTATGTAATCAGATTGCTTTTTTCAAGTAACTAGTAAAGTAATGCATTACTTTTTAATTTACAAGAAAATATCTGAGTTACTTTTTCAAATAAGTAACGCCAGTTACCTTGTTTACCATGTATTGATTGAAAGCTCTCCTGTGCCCATGTCGAGAGAAATCAGGAGTAAGATGTTATTTTAGCTCTAGAATAAATGTGAACATGCATTAATTCATCTCACTCACAAAAAACAGATTCAGTATTCCTCAAAATGATTAAAAACTGAAATGCAACTCAGAATATGACACAAACCTGCAATAAGTAAATATGTTAAATAATACAAATAACCTTTTATGTATTTAATCCCATTTTATGCTACTGACCTTCGATGATCCAATTCAACCATAAGCAAAAATTACTCAAGATAAACTAAAATTTGTTCTTCGTTTTTTATTGCTGAAGAGTGTTGAACTTTCTTCTTCTGCGTTCTTCTGTACAGACGTGAATTTACTTTTCCTTCAGCCTGAGGCTTTTGGTGTGAAAGGGTTTTATATTTTTATATTTGCCAAAAATATAACTTTTTATATTAAAAGCAAACAAGCAAGCCCTGCACAGATTAAAAAAGTAACTAAGTAACGTAATTAGTTACTTTTTAGGGAGTAACACAATATTGTAATGCATTACTTTTAAAAGTAACTTTCCCCAACACTGGTTACTTTTGAGTTACTTTTTAAATCTGGGCAGGGCTTGCTTGTTTGTTTTTAACATAAAAACAACACTATTTAGACACTATTTAGCAATAACAAAAATGAAACAAATGTGTCATTTTTGTTTCATTAGTATGGTTGAATTGGATTATGTAAGGTCAGTAGTTAAATACATAAATGGTATTTGTCTTATTTAACATATTTAATTATTGCAGGTTTGTATAATATTCTGAGTTTGCATTTGACTGTTTTTATTGATTTTGAGGAACACTGAATGTGTTTGTGTGCAGTGAGATGAGTAAACATGTGATATTTAGTCTAGAACTGCAGTAAGATCATGTTCACACACAACGCTCTGCACTGACTCCTGATTTCTGTCACCATGGCAACACCAGAGCTGTCACTCAACACATGGAAACAAAGTAACTGGCGTTACTTATTTGAAAAAGTAACTTAGAAATAAATATCTCCTTCTAAATTAAAAAGTAATGCGTTACTTTACTAGCTACTTTAAAAAAGCAATCTGATTCGGTAACTTGTGT